AATGCGATTTCTTTAGTCGTTTCGAGGTAGAGCCTCAAAACGTTGTTTCAGCACAAAAAGAGCGTCAAATTTTTAATGTCCTACTGCAGCAAGTGTTCACAATTGAATTACCCAAACGCTTATATAGGCCACGTGAAATTTAGGACAAGTGACTGTGACGTCAGCAATTCGTAGTGAAAGTAGAAAAGCGGAAGGTGATCAACAGAATTTTTGTGGGAATTTTTCCCCGATAAGCTCCATAACATACTTACATGTTTAATTGGTTGAAAAGCTGTATAATGTTTTTTTTTTTAATTACAGGTGTTACAAATGTTTCTCCTTTGGTTTTTCTCTTTCCCTGACCCTTTCATATGTTTAGTTCAGTTGATTTTATGTACTTTTGAGTTAACTTTGTACACTTTTAACTATTTTATGTACCAATTATGTTATATACAACGTTGTTTTGAGTTCTTTATTCAATGTCTCTAGTTTGACCTTTGATTTGGAATTGGATTTATGTTTCTATGATTTCTGTTTATGTTTATGTTCTGGTGTCTTATAAGCCCAATATGGGCTGGGCGACAAAGAAGGGTCGCAAGGCAAGAAAATTAATTCATTCATTTATTTATTAATTCATTCATACAGCTCCTGTAGGGAAGTGGGGTGTTCATCTCGTCTGGTTTGGACTGCATCGCGAAGACGGATTCAGGAAGTTTACGGATGGGTCACCGGTTTCCTACACAAACTGGGAGCCGGGTCAGCCCAACAACAAACGCAATCTCTTCTCATTATACAAGGAGCAGGACTGCGTCGGCATGTACTCAAAGGTGTGTGCTCGACTTTGCTGAGATTTCTAGCTTAGGTTTGCTAGAGTTTTAGTTATGTTTACCGAAGGAAAACATATTGTTTTTTCGTCAGTTTCTTCCCCTTCTTCTCCAAACAAATAAGGTCAATGATCTGAACCAGGTGTCTGTCACCATGGTAACTGGTGTTGGGGTACATAATGTTGCAAGTGCCATGTAGAACTGAGTTCAAGAGGGGCAGCATGGTCACCATACATATGAATGTGTAAGAATAAACAAAGCTTGTTAAGCCAGGTCATGTGAAGGTAAACACATAATGCATTTGCTTTGCAAATATTACCTTTCTAGTAAATAGCTTTATGTTTATTTGTAAGCTGCCTGTTTTTAGTCGAAAAGAGGATTGCAAGTCTAAGATGCCGGTGCAATGTAGAGGAGCCTTGGATGGCGACTACAACAGGATTTTGAGCTACGTATACGTAGGTATAGCCTAAGATAATTGAAAAACTGAACAATAGTACAATCATTCTACGCTTAAGCTTTTGCGTGAAGAATTGGGCATTGGGGAGACGTGGACACCGGTAAGAAAGTCGCATACAAAAAGAAAGTGAAAGTGAACCAGTTTAGCTCACTGAAGATCTAATCTTCCACTGGTCGAGACAGAAGACAGACGCTATGTACAGTATTTACAGGTTCATTGTACCGGGGAAATGCCCCTAGCTCTTTTCGACAAGTGCAATGAACAGTGTACCACGGCTTAACGTCCCGTCCTGAACAACAGTAGCGTGCATGTCGGGTGATCGACAACAGCAGGGATTCGAACTCCCAACCTCTTAGTCCAGAGGCAGGATCGCTAATCACTGGACTACGCACGCTACTGGACTATGTACCACTTAATGTTGTTGTCCTTCCTTCAACAGACGGGCTCTGCCGGCCACTTTTATCTGCGTTCACGCGTGCAAAGGGACAGTGGAATGATGACCAGTGCTACCGTTCCTATCCCTTCATCTGCAAGCGTCCAAAATGACAATACTTCGTTATTACCATGCGAGATTTTGTATCTCCAAGCAAGATAGGGCGTGTCCCTAAGGCGCCATTGTACTAAATTGCCGGTCATCTGTTTGTAATATTAGGACACAGGAGCCAGAAGTGCATTTTGGTCTAAAATTAGCAAAACAAAATACCATTAAGGTAACTTCAACACACACGTTTGCTGGTAAACTAGAGCAAACACAACGACACACATTAAATTTAAAGGTCTTCATTTATTCATTAATTCATTAAATTTGAAAACATATATTCGGCAAAAGAAATTACAGGTAAGAGGTGTGTGTCACCTAGTACAGTGGACGTAAAGCATTCAGAATGTTTAAAGTAACAAAACTAAAAAAAAGTCTATTGTGCTGTTTGTATTTCATACTATTTTGTAAAAGACATTCAAAGAGACCTGCATGCCTTCATGTCAGTAAATATTTCTTAACATTCCATGAGCAGCTGGTCAACTTGAATAACACTGTAATGGGAAGATTCTTGTAGTGTTGTAGGATTTGAAAGCCAAAGTAAACAATGTTAATAGTAGAAAAAATAAAACGTACTGACAAATAAAATTAAAGTAGTTTCCTGTTTCTCGTAAACAGGGCTACACACTCATTTCACGTAATCTAAAAAAAAAACTAGTTGTCGCTGCTATGACGACTGTTCTTGTGTAGCAATTATGGTACGTAAATGCCAGTAACATCGTGTCAACAATCATTACATTATTAAGTTTTGGTTGACTGAATGCCCTTGCAAGGCAGGAATGGTTGTATTAACAATCTCAAGAAAGATTATATCAATTAGTACTTATCTTACTTTACTTTCAAATTGTATTGGTACATAACATGTAGTATGCGATGAAGAAACCAAAATTTATTTGCATTTGTGTTTGTTTTATAGTAATGCAATATGCTATATTATACATTTGATGAGGTGGCAATGGATTTTTCAAATGAAGGAACATGGGCAGCCATATTCAATTGCCGGTCAACCATAGGACAATCATATTTATTTATTCAGAAATTGTAACATGACAATATAAAGTGTGCACTAGGCAGCAAGTAAATATATGTTTGGGGGGGATTGATGTTTAATCGTTTTCGTACTTGTTATCGTGTGGCTGCAAAGTGTACCTCATGTTTTAAAATAGAATTATACACTCATTACAACGCTATAAGAATGTGGGTGCAATATGGGGCAATTTTATGTGGCTCAACAAAGAGAAAAAATCTAGGATTGTATGTTAATATAGACAACAATAATTTGTTAATATAGACAACAATAAAAAAAGTAAACAACACTTCATTGTGCATGGTTGTCTATTTATTGCCTTTGCTACACAAAGAAATACATATTGAAAAGCAGAAAAAATGTATATTCAGAAAATCTCCAATAATGCCAAAGTCATACATCATATACATACCAATCAGGCAAGCATTTATATTGAGGTCCAGTATGGTTACATTTCCTTAGTTTTGGTTACCATTTTACTCTTCTGTACAGTAGTGTAAGGTTTTACCCATTATTGGTCATTGTCACAATCAGCAGCAATTTTACATTGTAATAGTTGATGACATTTATCTGTTCTTGATACAATCGCGATATGTTAAAACAAATTTCATTTTTTTAATGCTCGTGTACAGCATAGCTTTACATTTTAACAAAGTGACTCTGATACGGAGGTACCCATGAATAGATAAAATTCTTCAGAACGATTGATGCATCTGCGGTGCAATTCAATATGGCCCCTTATTGTGATGCTTTTCAAAAAGCCATTACCATGGTATTTCATCAAATACAGAACATAGCATTTTTATGACTCCAAAACAAACTCATATACAAATACGTCTTTCTACATTTGATACTAAATGTTATGCACCAATACAATTTGAAAGTTAAGTAAGATAAGTACTCATTGATACAATCCTTCTCAATAGATGAATACAGCCATTTCTTCCTTCCAATGATATTCAATTAGAACTTGATAATGTAATAATTGTTGACACAATGTCATTAACGTTTAATTGCCTGCTACATAAAACAACCATAGCAGTGACAGCTATTTTCAGATGACATGAGTGTGCAGTTAGCACAGAAAACTACTTCCATCTACTAGTAGGTTATTACTTTCCAACTGTTAAAACATTTTCCCCACTCAAATCTAAGCACACTACAGGAATCTTCCAGTTCAAGTTCTCGAAATGTTTACTGATAACAACGCACACAGGTATTTTCAAAAATAGTATGACATGCAAACAGCACAGTGGAACATGATTTTTTGATACTACAACATCATTAGTGATTTCTTTGCAGTGTGCTAGGTGACACACATATGTTACCTTTGCTTTTTTCCTTTTGATTGCTCTAGTTTACCAGGCAAACGTGTTTCCTTTCTAAAAATGACCAAAAAAGAACATAAGTCATGATTGTCAAAAAAAATACAAGCATCTTGCCCAAGGAGGTTTGTTATTATCATATAGCCAGGTCATCACTTCACTAAGGCTAAATCCCCAAGACGAGAAAAAAGGCAGCAAATCGCATTATTCTTTTTTTACAACAACATGAAAAGCGGCCTGCAGGCCTGTATGAATAAAGAATAGTTCAAACAAACAAAGCCAGCCACATGGTGTAGCTAAGGTTGTCATGCCTCTGGTTTGTCTCACCAAGAAACTGTGTACTAGTATCATAATGATTGTATATTTTTGTATAATATCAATTATTACTTTTTAATACTGTAACAAACTAATACATAATGTGTCCTCCTGCCCCTGTATGTTTGGAAACTAGAGAATAAGTAAAATAGTTGAAAGGGTTAATGACGAAAAAAGATATGCATTTAATGATCAGCCAATAATGTCAGTTTGAATTGGCTACAGAACGATAGCTTTCATGGTACGAATTTGCTATATCATAAAATAAAGTTAATGACCCGTTCTTTCCTTGGTGTTTACAGTAACGTAACGCCTCGCTCACTCGGTGGTTTGTTCGGTGGCTATACTTCCATAGGTCGCTGGCCAGATGTTATGTCACAATAAACAACCTGAGGTAGGTCATTAACCCATAACTGGTAAAGGCGTGTGCTGCAGCTTCTACGACTTACAAGGTGGCGTCCACTTTCTTCACTTGTATCTTCCACCTGTCTTGTTTGACGATGACGATGTCTCGCAATGAAAGAATGGAGCATTGTCATTTTGGGCGCTTGCAGATGAAGGGAAAGGGACGGTAGCACTGCTCATCATTCCACTGTCCCTTTTGCACATGTAATAAAGGGAAAAGATAGCCGCCACAGCCCTTGCCACTCTGTCGAAGAAAGACCAAAAACATGGAATTAAGTTTTACATATCACCTACAGGTTTCTTCAGTTAACCACCCCGTCCTTATTCTTCCTTTACCCAATCAACTTTTCAGCTGTTTCCCAGTAAAACTGACGGATGGCCTGGCGATTGGAAAAAATGGCCAATACAGACCCAGATGAAGATGAAAATCAAGGCCTTATGTCCCGCAAGGGTTTAAATCTCTGCAATACCATGCCAGTCTCTTCTAGATCTGTACCAGATTCTCATTGCAAAAAGCGTAGAATGATTTTATTATTACCCACTTAAATCCTGTTATAGGGGCCGACCAAGACTCGTATACATCGTTTATCTCTGATTTTAAATTCTCTACTCGACCACTATTAGAAGGGGGAGCTGCATGACAGTCAGAATAGGACATACCGCTACTATAATACTAACCAAGCAATCTCAGCAAATTAGAGCGCACACCTTTGAGTACATGCCGACGCAGTCCTGTCCCTCGTTTCCTGTGAAGATGTTGCCATTGTTGTTGGGCTGACCCGGCTCCCAGTTTGTGTAGAAAACCTGTGACCCATCCGTAAACTTACGGAATTCATCATTGCGATGCAGTCCAAACCAGACGAGATAAATGCCCCACTTCCCTACAGGAGCTGTAATTGAAATTGTAATTATGCGCCGGGTTAGCCAGTTAGACCTGTTATGCTACCTGAGTATGTAATAGGGTTTTAAGGTGAGAATGCACTTTTTTTTTGGTTTCACCTTTCACTTTCGAATTCTTTGACCTGTCCTGTAGATAATCAACGAACAAAGACGATGGGATCGGAGCTACACACTCCTTACTACGAATTGCTGACGTCACGTGTACGAAAGGTAACGTGACCTAAGCGGTTGGACACCTGAATGTTGAGAACAACTTACTGCAGTAGGACAGTTGTCTTTTGTGTTGTTTGTGAAATCTACCTTGAAACATTCTGGTGTGATAAGGAGCTCTGTTGTATTACCCACCGTCAGTGATGATAGTGTTGATGAAGTTGGCCTCGCCATAGCTTGTGATAGACGCCAGATTTGCACCGAGTTGTTCACAACGTTTCTTTGCGTCTTCCCATGTGGCTGCGTCTTTCATCAACTTGTAGCAGTGGTTCTTATATCCACTCCACCCCATAGGACATGGTTTGCCTGTAACATAAACGATTACTGTATTTGAATTTTTAAAAACTCAGTTTAAGTAGTTTAAAACCTGCTCTTAGAAGAAAATCTGTCCAATCGCTAAATTGCATTATGTTTCCAGCACATTAGATTGAAGCTCACCAAGATGGCAGCTACGTCCAGTCCATCCAGGGTTGCAGGTACATGTGTATCCGCCATCTTTGTTCACACAGCGTCCATGTTGGCATGGATTTCCTGTACATTCATTCAGGTCTGTGTCAAAACAAGGAAAACAGGTTATTGTGCTATACCAGGAACAAATTAACAAGCATTTGTAGTATTTCAACTTTGTTTCCAAATGACTGATAGTCTGATAAAGAAAAGAAATTGCTTAACATTTAAAACATTGACTGCTGAGGAAAAAAAAGAACTCACCTTGCTGACAGTTCTGTCCAGTCCATCCAGGGTTGCAGGTACATTTGTATCCGCCATCTTTGTTCACACAGCGTCCATGTTGGCATGGGTTTCCTGTACATTCATTCAGGTCTGTGTCAAAACAGGGAAAACAGGTTATTGTGCTAAACCAGGAACAAATTAACAAGCATTTGTAGTATTTCAACTTTGTTTCCAAATGACTGATAGTCTGATAAAGAAAAGAAATTGCTTAACATTTAAAACATTGACTGCTGAGGAAAAAAAAGAACTCATGATCACCTTGCTGACAGTTCTGTCCAGTCCATCCAGGGTTGCAGGTACATTTGTATCCGCCATCTTTGTTCACACAGCGTCCATGTTTACATGGGTTTCCATCACATTCATTCAGGTCTGTGTGAGAAAGATAATCATATACATCCTAAAGCTGAAAAATCCAAATATCATCTTATAGCAAATCAGTATCTACACAGTGTAAAGTTTCATGTTTCAGGAAAGTGATAAAGAATCCCAGCATATATGACTAACACTAATTAAACACTCACCTTGCTGACAGTTCTGTCCAGTCCATCCAGGATTACAGATACAGTTGTATCCGCCATCTTTGTTCACACAGCGTCCATGTAGGCATGGCTTCCAGGTACATTCATTCAGGTCTGTGTCAAAACAGGAAAACAAAATGGGGAAACGTTAACGTTTGTGAAGATGAATCGTAGACATGCAGACAGAGAAATTAGATATCAGAGATTAGAGTTAGAATAGATGGATATCCCAAAATCATTGAGACAGCACTGAGGACGTCATACAAACATTTCTTACCTGTGGTTGGCAGAGACGTGACGGTTACTGGCAGGGTCTTGGAGTTCAGACTGATGTTTGCAAATGGCTCGTGCTTATCATCGAAGAATGCCGTCAGGAATGGAGGGTCCGATTTCTGTAGGGTCGCCCTGATCATCATGTCTTCTTGCATCATTGAACCAAGTGCGTCCTACAAACAACCGTATGGAGTCTACATTGGTCCATACCCTATGTTACGACAGCCCTATGTTACGACAGCCCTATGTTACGACAGCCCTATGTTACGACAGCCCTATGTTACGACAGCCCTATAACGACAGCCCTATGTTACAACAGCTATTGTTATTGTTATATGCTGACGAACAATTGATGTCGGCGCCTTTCGCATACGTTAGTCTCATTAAAGCCCGTTTTTCAAGTTTCCATCCGGTAAAATGTATCCACAAATAAATCTCCTCGAACAAAATCATTTCGGATTTGAAAACTCTCTTTTGGGAATTACGTTTTTGATGGTCTTGTAGCGGGCGGGTTGCATGAAATCCGAGCCGCAGTTCGCTATCCACGCCGCGGTTCGCTAACACTTCCGGCTTGCTTAGAATACGACGAAAGGCACCACTCAATATGGATACATACTATTTACCAAAAATTCTTAATATTGAATTTCTTTAATGGAATGTTACTAAGTAGTGGTAGAAACACCGTAGAAAGTAGCGTAGTGTAACTCTCTTCGCCAACAAACAAACTGCAGCTCTGCAAAGATGGCTCTATCCAATCAGAGCGCAGGTCATATGAGGTCAACGAATCAGAGCGTAGAGTTCACGCTGCTACTTACATAT